AGAGAGAGAGAGAGAGAGAGAGAGAGAGAGAGAGAGAGAGAGAGAGAGAAAGAGAAAGAGAATGAAGTGAGAGAGAAAGGGAGAAAGATAGAGGCAAAGAGGGGGAGAAAGACAGGGGAAGTGAAAGAGAAAGTCTGAGAGAGATAGAGGGAGAGACGGGAGATGACGGAGTGAAAGGATGAAGTGCAGGCAGTGGGCGAGGGAGGGGGAAGGGCCGCAGACGAGGGTAGCCGCATGCTGGCGCGGTAACTCGCTCGCAGTGGAGGGGGATATAACAATTATACGGCATGAGAAGCGTAGCAACAGTCGTCTTGATGTGGTTTATGAGGTGAGAGAAAGAGTGGGGGTGGCGGAGATAGGGCGACCACCCCACCGCCGTTCCCCCCCCCCCTCTTTTACTCTCCGTCTCTCCGTCTGATTGTCCCTCTCCCTCCATTTTCCTCTCTCCTGCTCTCCTCTCCTCACTCTCTCCCGGAAGGAAGATAGACGAGAGAGAGAAAGAGAGGGGGGGTAAGTAAGCTAGCGAGTAAGGGACGAAGGGAAAGGAAGGAGGAAAACCGTCGCGCGGAGTTCATTGCAAGTCTTGCGAAAGCGCTGCCTCAGAGCACGGCAGAAAAAAACGGGAGGAAAGAAGATGTTGAAAAACAAAATGAGGACCCTGGATAAAACAGAAAAATAAGCCGGACCGAGAATAGATTTTGGGGGACGTTCCTTTTGTAGCGCGCCATGTGCTTAAACTGTCTGAGGATGAAGTTTCCGTAATGGGTTGTTCTCTCATGCAAGGCACGTCTGCGTCCGTCTGTCACTCTGTCCGTCCGCTCGTCCTGCGCGCAACTCTCGCGGAAGTCGCTCTGTCTTGACTCGGCCGCGATGGATTCACCCCCCTGTCTCTCTCTCTCTCTCTCTCTCTCTCTTCCTCTTTCTCTTTTGCTGCCCGTCTTTACATATTCGTTTTCCGTAGTGTGCCTGTGGTCTAAACCAAGCCCTCTTTACAGTAAACAGTAAACAGTAAACAGTGTACAGTAATCAGTATACAGTGTTTACTACACGATTTGTTTTATCGTTAATCACGGTACCCATATAGAGTGACGAAAGCAAGCGATGCACCTCCAAGAGCGACCTGCCTTACTCTTTGCGCATCATGGACTTTTTTTTTCTTGAGTTCGTACACTAACTACTAGTTAATTTTATGTGTTCAAAGGTAAACAATTATTTTTTTTTACAAATTTCTACATTTGTGCTATGCTTTAAAAATCATACGTTTTTGCAGATGCAGATTTTTCCAAAACGAAACGTTGGCTTAATTTTGCAAGAAACGTTTGCACAAAAGAATCCTAATACAGAATCGCTTTTCTTTATCAGCAGAACAAACCGATGGAATTTACCATGGAACCCTCAGTGTAGTCCTCCATGCCCTCGTTTCCCGTTTTTAATGTTAGAGGAGGAGGAGGGCGAGAAGGAGGAGGAGGAGGAAGGGTGCGGCACGGCGAGGGTCCGGGTGAAAACAAGAGTCGTGGGCAGCGCTGCAGATAACAGCGGTGAGGCCCCCGCTCCCCGGCCCGCGCCGCCATCACGCTGCCAGCAGGGGCCTTATCGTCCCCGGGAATGGTACCGATGGCACTCACAATATGCGTCCCCTCTTGCCACTTAGATAATCTCCACGCAATTTGGCCGGCGAAAATGATGCAATAGTTGACCTGCTCGGTAACACATGTCCGTTACGAGCTACTAACGTTGCAGAGGATGGCGGCGTCGTGTCGTGTGCGGCTGACCATCGTGGGGACCGGAGAGCGGCCCTGGTGACCTCTACCGCCCACCCAGCTCGCCGCTGCCGCACTTCGCGACGAGCAGGAAGATAGCTCAATATCTTGCCGAATGGCTTGGCGGTGACGGCGACGGCGGTGGCTATGGAGCGGGACCGGGCGGGACGCAGCGACGGGAATTCGAAACCGAAAGTCAAACTCAATTTTTAAACTTGTCGTCGGAACGCGCAAGTTTGTCTTCTTCCCCTCTTCCGTCGCTCTCGCTCGACGCCGCCGCTCTAACTGAAAGAAACTTGAGGGTCGGATAGATAGGGGGCTGGGCGATCGGGGCTGCCCGACCCGCACCGTTCGATGGGGTGACTCTTAATTAAATCAGGCTGGAATTAAATATATTGGCGCCTCGCTGCGTCAGCACTGCAAGGACCAATCTCCTCGGCCTCCGACGAGGCCGGTGTTGGCCAGTCCTGTACGAGTGGGGTCCTCTCCCCTTTCCCTCGCCCCCCGTCCTCTCGACCACTCTTGATCCTCTCTCAGAGTACTCTTCCATCTTTCTTCCCGATCACACCTGATTCTCCTTTCCCCGGACGGTTCCATTCCAACTCCCTTAACTCTGACCTACACCTTTCCCGTCTGCAACTTTTCTTAATTGTTCTATCACTTTACGTGTAGTAATATTTCCATAAGGATTAATGAGGTATCACTGATTCATTTTGTGTATTTTTCTCGTTTTTCTTAATTACTTTGATGATTGTTTTAGGCAGATTTACGTATCTGGTGCAATAAATGTGCCCTTCTTCAACTATCATTTATCTTTGCGAAGGGCCTTTCTGGGTAGCATAAAGATCTGTTAAAAAGCGCCTAACCAGCTCTGGAACCGGCGAACACAGCCCGCAGCCCGCAGTACGCCGTGGCAGGCCATGAGTATCACTTTCGAGTTTTAGTGTGAGTTTCGAATCCGCGATGACGCAGCTGTTCCAACTAAAACTTTGATGAGCGCAGCCCCCGTGAGGACTCTCGTCATCCCCCCGCGACAGCCAGCCCTGCTCGCCACGCCTCGTCCCGCCCTGGCGGTGTGGCTGTGCGCGCTCGCATCGCCCTTAAAGTCCTATCTTAATACGGCCGGTTATGAAGCGACAGTGGAGGCAGATGCCTGTTAACTGGCGCTGGGCGGCGCGTTACTGGCCGCTCTAGCGCTGCCCTGGCATGCTGCTCCAACGGCGTGGGCGGCGCGACCCGCAGGGCTCCGCAGGGCCCCGCTGGGCGCCACAGGATCCCCTGCAGGACTCTGCCGGGCCGGTGTACCCAACGGCCGGGAATGAATTGCAGTCCTGGCAGCAGGGCGTTACAGGCGGCGTTAGTCAACATGGGTTTGGACTGCGTTACCTGCTGTAGCATTCGACCCTCTCTGCGTTGCGCGCTCCCTGTTCTGCTACCCCCTCCCTCCTCCCTCGGCACGCTCACACCCTTGAGACGCGGCTGAACCGGAAGGAAGAATTCCGAGATTGCTGTTGTGTTTGTCGAGGCTGCACTTCCGCTCGGGGTGGAGCCACCACCGCCCCTAAAACAAAAGACGAAAAATAATTACTGAAGGTAAGGATGGTCTCGCCCTCGCCCTCATTATTGCTCTGTAAGGGGCGATTGCAGCGATGCCCGCACTGTTCCTGCAATTCCCGTTCCGCTCAGAAAAGTGCCCAGGATTCGGATGCTTGTAACTACTGCGAACCATTACTTTGTAATTGCTCATTGATAGGCTCAGTGATACTTTGCAATTGCGAAGCAATGCTTTACATCCATCGTAGTTGCAAAGCATATTTGAACTTGCGCAGTTATTTGCAATGCGTCTGCAAAGCATATTGATTTGCAGGAATTCACACCAAATTCATAGTCATAGGCTAACCGGGAGTCAAATTCTACATACTCAGGTTCCCTACTTGTCCCTTTTCCTCCTGTGCGCCGTTGAGTTTTTTTTTTTTTTCAATTATCCCGAGCACAAACGTTTTCGTTCAATCTGTCGAAAAGGATCAAAGTTGTCTCTTCCAAGGTCCACTCTCCTACACTGCAAAAAATTATGACAGGAAAACTACAGATCGTC